CAATCATGAGCTCAATTCAGTGAGATTGGCATATTTTTTTGTTACGTTGATTTGGAACTTTTAATATCATATGATTGTTTCTTGTGAGGGTATTTAATAGTACATTTGATTGCTAATTTGTGTGTGGAAAGTAATTTGTCATTGATGAGTTTTGACTTTTTATATTTATTTTTGAAAAATCTTTATACTTTACAACTTTTTAGTCGTTTTATTTCTGAATTTTGGTATTTCCACTAAAAATTGCTAATGCCAATTTTTAAATCCTAAATTTTTGTAACTTTTTCAAAAATACCATATTTTTTTATATACTATTTCTAAATACCATATATAAAAGAATAATCTTATAATTATTCTTTTTACTTAAAAGAATTATATAAAATAAGGACTTTATCTTCTCAAACAAGACATGCACTACCTTCTTTCCAAAGTTCTTATTTTCAAAAGGATAAATTAAATTGTCTTGCTTCTTCCATTGATATTCATGAGAAATTCACCAATATCTTTGAGTTTTTTATACTTTGTTCCTAGATTTTCAGAAGGTAAGCTACTTTTTTCATGGATTTGTTTTTTCCTCTTCTTTTTGACTCTCAAGAATAATGAGTGCTTTCTCCTTACTCTCTTGCATTGTTGATGAAAATTTTCTTTAAATTCAAGAACAATGAGTTTCTCCTCATTATAAGAAAAATAGACATTCATAAACATGTTTGATTATATTAAATAACATGTTTTTAATGGTAACAAAATGATAGCATCTCATCAAATTCAAATTTAAATGTTTTGGATATTATAAAATATTTTTTTTTTATTATGTCACGCTCAAATGCATGCCATGCCCTACCTAGAGTGATACCTATGTGTTTAAACATGCCCTTAAACCATAATTAATATATGTAAAGTTAATTATTCAAAGACATTAGAGGTATATAAAACATTAAATCCATTCCAATGAGAGCAATGTAAGAGACTTGGATGATCATTTATTTTTAACATTATTCTAAAATTTTTCCACTAATGGCAAACAAATGAAACTACTCACAAAAAGAGTGAAAAAAGTAGGATCATAAGGGTTAATATCTTCAAAGATTGAATTAACATACATTGATGTAAGACAATTGCTTAATTCAATAGATTCAATCTTTTGAACTAAAAGAGCCAAGTAGAGACTTCATAATCTATATAATACTTTTATATTGCAAAACTTTGTGATATATCATATCTAGTGGTTATGTTTAATTATTTTACATTTTTAATAAGTATTTTTAAAAAATTGATCAAGTCTTTCACCGATGACACTCTTTACCCTTCATACTTGTTGGTAAATATACTAAATGTATCTCTTTGGCATCACTAAAAGTTATGTATTTATTATGAACTTATAGTTCATCTTTAAAACAAGTATTAGTACAATGTGTCTCAATTGTACCAAATTAAGAATTTGTAGACACATCAATTGCTATTCAATAGCACCATCGTTAAGGTTTATGTATATAAGTAATCACATTGTTTTGTAGAAAAGCATCTACATATTTTACTCATCTTCAAGGCTTATTGGCCAATCCCTTAAATGAATTCAAGACCATTTTTCTTGGTAACCCTTTTATAAAAAAAACCAATTGCATTTCTTTCACTTTATATATAATTAAGAGAAATTACATCACTTTTAATTAATTATTTAACAACACCATGCCTAAGACATAGATGTCTTTTTTCCTTTATAAGCATTGTTGTTATTTACTCCAATTGCAACTTGTGAGCCATACTATAGAAGCACAGTCATGTAGGTTTTCCTTATAAACATATGTCAACTAATAAGCTTCTCAACCATTTAACATAAATTTGTTATTTATTAATAATATGAAAATGCAATATATAGACTCCAAAAATAAAGATGTATTTAAGTAAATAAATTGATAAATAGGCAATTTATTTACTTGGTTTGATGTGTGCTAGTCACTAAGGATTCTTTCACCTGTATTTTTTAAATCATATTAATTTGTGTTATATATTTTTTAGAATTTTTATAAATATAAATTTTATAATTATAATATATGAGTAGTTTAATTATTGACTCATTAGTTCAATCAATGACTATTGACCTAATACCTTAAACTAGTCGATCTCCGATTCAATTTATATAACTAAGCATTAGGATATTTGTCTCCCAAAAATAAAGAAGATAACAAAGGATCAAATACATTATTAATAAAACTTTTTCTTGTAATAATTTAATACATTTGAATGTAGCCACTTGTCAGACTTGTATTTTCGTATATATGCATATATATATATATATATATATATATATATATATATATTGTTCCTTTAATTCATGTTGTAATAGTTTGATTGTATGCATTGAAATGAGATGTGTGAATTGTGTAGTTGTTGTATAAAGAGCTGTACATTGCTGTACTATATGGTTGTTTTGCTAGGTGTTATTAGCAGTTGGGTCTGTGATTACTTGTATTGTAAATGTTGGAGGCATATGAATTTCCATAAGTTGGAATATAATTATGAGAGTTAAGCAATTGATGGATAAAAAGTTGTGAGTTGCAGTGTGGTGTGATTGCCTTGTTTGATGTGACTAGTGATGAGGGTTTTGATTGGTTATTAAGTGTTTTGATATAAGAGTATAGCATAGCCTTTTTGTTGTACAACCTTCATTCTAAAGACTTTATTCTAGAAGAAATGAGAATTTTGATGCAGGGTGTCTCGCTCAAGCGAGGTGTGCCTCGCTCAAGCGAGATTAAGTCGTGCTGAATTGGGCATTATGGAGCAATCTCACTCAAGCGAGATTAGTCTCGCTTAAGCAAGATAAGATAAGACTACCCCAACTATTCTCTTGCCCAGGTGACAAGGAATCTCGTTCAGGCGAGAAGCGACCTTGCACAGGCGAAGAGTCGTAGGAAAAATGGAAAACTCTTTGGACCCATTCTCTCTCAAGTGAGAATACCTTTCGCCAAAGTGAGAATGCTACTCGCCCAAGTGAGATGCTGCTTGCCCAGGCGAGAACAATAGAAATTTAGGTAGTTTCACTATTTGGTTTTCTCGCTCAAGCGAGAGTTGGCTCGCTCAAGCGAGAGCGCGCATATTTGGAGGGGTATTTAAGGAACTTTATCGCAGAAAAATTCATTTATCACCAAACAGTCTTTCTCTCTCGTTTTCTCTCTATTCTCTCACCTTCTCCCCTCAGAGAAAACGTTCTCGAAGCCAAACTCCTTCTTGATCCAAGTGTAGACGTTTATTCCATCTAGATCTAGGTGAGTTTTAAGAGCTCAGTTCTCTGTCTTCACTCCTTGGTTGTTGATTTCTTTTCTCAAGAGCTTCGTCTTTTATAATAATAAAGGGATTTGAGTTCCTTGGGTGTTGTATCTCTCTTTAGGACTCATGAGTAGTGCGATCTAAGAAAGCCTATTTCCAGGTAAGTGGAGCTTACCCTAGTTGGCCTTTAATATACACTCGGATATTATGATATCTGTATATAGATCTCGTTTTAACTGAGAATGGGTTGACGTTTGGATGAACCTTATCGTAGAACATTGAATATGTGTGATGGGCTTCTTTATTGTTTTGTGAATGGTATGAAATTGTTTATGTTTGAGATGAATGTTGAAATGTTGTAGTATAGTATAATGTACCGAGAATGAAAATATGTATTACTGTACTGCTGGGACTAAATGAAATTATAAATATGGTTGTGATGCATTATGTTGACTTGCATCATTCTAGAGCTGAGTTACGTATTTAAGTGGTTAGACATGTGACGATAAGAACGCTGCGACTATGCTATGTTTAGATTCAAATACTGGGATGAGTTACTCTCAAATTGAAAAAATTTTGGATTCCTTCTGGATTACTTAGGCTGTGAAATCACTTGAAACTAGATTGTGCATTAGATAGGCTGGGAACGTGTTGAACTACTGCATTGATTTACTGAAAATTGTTGATATATTAAATTATAAAAATGATTATATTATATCTTGCATTTTTCGACTATGACTATTTGTTGTTTAAGTTCACCCTTGCATTCTGTTTGTGTTGGTGTGTGTTGACTATACGGTGATATGTGAACAAGCATGACAAGTGATACACTTACTTCTCATATTGAAAGGTCTAATTGGTGGATGTTTAGAGTTCAACATGCTTTTTGGAACAATTATAGCTTTATTTATTTTGTTAAGTCTAGGTCTTGACAGTGAGTCTAAACTATTTAACTACAATTTTCAAGAATTGTAATTTTAAATTATAACTTGTATTTTGAACTTCGTGTCGAGCAACTTTTGTGTAACTTTGCTTAAAAATATTTATGTATAAATGTATATTTAGAATTTTATTAAGATGCCCTTGGAGCTTTATTCCAAAATTGTTAAATTTTACCAATGGAGGTTGGTTTGAGTGGTAAGCGGTTTGATATCGCTTAAGTAAGGTCTCAAGTTCGAGTCTTTGTGTATGCAAAAAAATTTCTAGTGGTAGACTCACCCACTATATCCAAGTGCATAACTCGTGTCGGATCTAATTTAAACCATATGAGAAAAAAATGTTAAATTTTATTTTTTATTAATGTCAAAAATTTAGTACTTAATATTTTTTTAAATATTTAAAATTTATATAAATATTAATTTAATAATATATATATATATATATATATATATATATATCCTTTCAAAAAAGAGTTGTGACACTACTTTCATTTTAAATTTTATTGTGCAAAATTAATATGGTTTGAAGCAATTTGTTTTAGTTTTAATTATTTGAAGCTGCTCCAAACACGTTATGTTTTCATGTAATAAGAGACTGATATAAAAAAAAAAAAAATTAAAACCCTAAAAACAAAGTAAAATATATTTCTAAGACTTAAACATAAATAAAGTTTTACTTTAGACTTGAATATTTCTAAGTACCTGTTTTTGGGGGAAATTTTAAGTACTTAAAACATAGGGTTAAATGATATTTAAGCCTGTATTTGCATATATTTTGTTGTTTTCTTTGGGATAGTCGTCATGGATACCGGATGGCGGGTGATTGTTTCATCGTTTGCTTGGGTGACTGCCTCCACATCGTGAACAGAGGTCAATGATGGAAGTGGAAGCAAGGCGAATTAGGAGGTTTGGCCCTCAAAGGCCCACAGCCAGCTCTCTTCTTCCGCTTCACGCTTCTTCCTCCACTCATCACATTTCCAACACCGTTTCCTGTTGGTAATGAATGTTGATCTTCTTCGATTACCATCTTTTGTGTGTTTCTTGTTTATAAATTAAGCAACAGGGTCTATAAATACAGGTATTGCGACTACAAAATCACCTCATTTAACAAGCCTCTTTTCCATTTCGGTCGCAGACATGCCAGGTGGCACCTTCTGCTTTTGCACCCACCCTTTCGCTTCTTGCTTCGTTTTCTGAACTTTAGTTGCTTTGCTTGTCTTGCAGGATTTTGAAAGTTTGGTTTTCCATTGGGGTCGGTTTTGCCGTTTCTGCATTGCTTGGAGTTACTTTGGTGAGATTTTCTGTGTTCGTAAATTTAAATATTTGAGTAAATAGCCAAATTAGTTCGTGGGAGTCATGCTAGTTCTTGAATGACCGAAATTGCACTTAGGGTCCTTGAATATTCTTTTTCGTGTTAGTCAAATTAGTTATCGAGATTTGTTGTATGAGGACTAATTTGACTGAAGAAACGTTTAGGTCTAGTTTGGATAAACTTATTAAGTACTTTTTTTGGGGTCAAATTATTAAGCTATGAAGCTAAATTCTTAGTACGGCACGTATACACTGCAGATACGAGGATATGGGAGATTCTTGAAAATTCAAGATATGATGCGGCCTAAATACGTTAGCATAAATTCAAAGAAACAATATATTTTATACAAAAATAAAATATTTGTAAAGAAATATTGATGACTAATTCATATTAATGTATTACATTTGCATATTAGAACTGTATGGAAGATGAGACCCATGAGGACTGAGTGCTGTGAGTTGTCAACCATCATCACCGACCCACAACTTGCTTAGCCATCACCACCAACTTGTGACCCAATAACAAGTGACTTTTGTAAGACCCAAAACCACTGCTATGTGTGACAGCTTTAAGCACTATAACAGAGGTCTTCAATTTTGTGTAAGATGTTGCGTGTGAAAGCTTTGAGCATTGCTGCGTATGAGACCCCCAAGAATTGCAACCCTTATTTGTATAAGACGAGACCCATGCTGCCCCAAGCCCTAGCTAGAGGAGATGAGTGAAGATGTTGGTTGAAGACTTTGTCTCAAATGTTGAACAATCATGGAATTGAAACGCACTGTTTCAATATTAACTAAGTAAACATCGGATACATGTCTAATATTGATACTTCCGCCAAATTGGAGTATCCAGGCTTCATAGTTATTAAGTACTCATAGGAGAGGAAAATAAAGAAGTAAAATGAATCATACTTCTCGCATAAATTAAAATTAATTTATGCACCTGACCATTTTAGAAGCTCTCTTAGTTAACTTCTCTAAAAGTTGAGGTGTATTACTTGATTTTAACTTTTGGGGAGAAGTTTGATGCACTTTGTTACCTCTTTATTTTCTTCTCTTCTTTGTATGTGTTTAAAAGTTTATCAAAATTGGGCCTTAATCAGGGACATGAGTGCAATTTCGTTACTAATATGACTCGTGCTGTCTTTGAGACTATTTTGACTATTTGATCTAAATATTTTGTTCCTTGGATTAACTTTCTTATACCATGCTTGTCCAGATTCTTCTGTGGGAACTAGCTCGAACATTGCATCTCTGTGGCGCTAGCAAGAAGCTTGGAAATCTTACAAGTACCTTGCTATTTGGCTTCCCCTCTTTGGTTGGCAACTTGAGAAACCCTCTTCTTTTCAAATTTCATTTTTTTTTGAATGAATGACAAATTCAGGGAAAATATATGCCAATAGCAAAATGACAAACACATGAAAATGTGAATAATCTTTATCTGTCTTGCTCTCATGAACTTAATAACTTCCTTTTATGCAGCTGCCTGGTTTAAGATTATCACTTGCTGATGCTGGGTATATATGTATTTCTACCGCCATATCTGTTGTTGTTCATGAATTTGGTCATGCAGTTGCTGCCACAAGGTCAGTTGTCTTTGCTTTTGTTCCACTTCTCATCTATTGCTTGTTCCTAAAATATGAGAAACATCTTGACTTTTAATTACTTTATGTGAGTGGATGTGTAAATAGACATGTCTACTTCTGAACCCCTCATCAAAAGCAATCCTTTTCCACAACTTCATCTATAGCAGAAACAAATCCGTGATTGAGATGAACAAGGGAGAACTTTAACTATTTTGTGCATTTTAATTGTAACATTTATCAATTAATAATAAATCATTGAACTTGAAATAGTTTTTAGGGAAAATTTAGGGAGTATGAAAAATAAAATTCACTAAGAAGGCTCTCTATAGTTGTCTTACGCTCATGCAAAACATTAACATATTCCCCTATTCATATTACAACTACCGTATGATATCACTCTAATGATTTGTCCATTACTTTGGGTGCATTATGATAAGTGATTGATGAAACTTCTGAATTCAGTATTTACACATTTAGTAGAGCTAAACCCATTGCTCTAAACCTCACAGTCAAAGGAGTTAAAATTGGGGTTTTATTTTAAATCGTAAAGGGGAGTGAACATCGTATATTGAATCATAAGATTTTACAAAATTAATATATATGCTTATAAATTCATATTATGCATATAAAAAAGCATAAATTAGGAAAAAACCTTTAAATCAGTAAAAGCATTTTTAAATAAAGTAGAAGTCACTTCACAAATCATAATCCATATTCCATAAGAGTGTCCAAGAACAATTTATTTATTATATATTTTAGATTTTGAGGCTTTATGAATATATTCTAGGTGCCTCCTACTGCTATCAAACATATTTCAGCATCAGTTGCAATTGTGATATCTGTTGTTTAAAGCACTGCCCCTGTATTTCCTATTATCATTGCAGCAATAAAATTTTATTAGTCTTTCGTTTACTATGTGATCTCGCAGATATCAAGAACCCCAAATTTCATTTTGCTTAAAATGATAATAGCTAGATTCTCATGATTTATGCTATTGCACTTTTTTCCATGGAAGGCAGTGAGGGAATGCAAATAGAGTACATTGCTGTCTTCATTGCAGTTCTATTTCCTGGTGCTCTGGTTGCATTCAACTATGAATTGCTGCAAAGTTTTCCTCATTTGACTGTCCTCCGTGTGTATTCTGCTGGCATGTGGCACAATGCAGTTGTAAGTTGAATATAAAATACAATCCATTGACACTAGTATCAAGTATGTACACTTACTGCTACCAATAACATTGTTCAATGTTATCCTTTTCATCAAGCATATATGTGATAGCTATCACACGGGTTTGCATGTTAGATATGTAAAAAATAGATATTAATATAATACATACTTGTTATTGAAGGGAAAGCAATATGTAATGTTGTTTGATTATACAAGAAGTCTGATAGAGTACTGGACCGGAATGTGGGCTTAAATGGTGTAACTGTGTAAGGCCTAGGATTTGGAAAATGTATGCCTGTAAGAAAAAGAAAACTAGCAAGGTGAGAGAGGGAGGAGAATGCTGAGTTGGCAGGTTGGTTAGGGGAGTAGGGAATATAGGCAATTTGGAAGAATGGTGGTGAGTTAATTATGCATTTGCTTTTTATGTTTGGAAAGAGAAATTCTATTTTCTGTGAGGATCTTTTCTGCTCTGGTTGCTTTAAGAGCTCAGACTCATTTCTCATTTCTTTTTGATTCATAGTAAATTTCTTCCATCAGTTTTGTTTACAAACTCTATCAAAATCTTTATCTCACTAAGTGAGGTTGACTGCATGGATCACATATGCTCAGTTAAAAACCAAATTTTTAGAAATATTCATATTGAGGTTTTCTTTTAATAATTTATTCCAAAATTCTTTTAGGTCTTTGTTAGATAACAATCAGGGATTAGATAATAATTAGGGATATGTAAATTATGATTGATCCTGTTGTACCTCATTGTATTATTATAAATACAGCTTGTGTAATCATATGACACACAACATTCAAAAATTCCTTCTCTTACATGGTATTAGTATTAGTAGTCTTTTGGTTCCTCGATATCGTTTTGCCATTTTTTTTGTCATGTGAACGCACAGTGAACAGTACCACAACCCCTGTTTTCGCTTGCTACCGCACCTCCTTTTCCAGGTGTGTCCCTATGACCAGCATCGCCACCCTTTGGTGACTGCTACTCCATTGATGCTGCCCAAACCACCGTTGCATACGCCTCTAGCAAGACCCATTCGCTAGTGACATTTTTTCTTGTTTTCTCCTTTCTCCAGCAACCCTGTCCATCCCTTTTCCTACTTGTTTTTCTCATAGCTTCTGATGGTTCACCTTCAGACTGCATACCAATGTTCCACTGATTCCATGTGAAAAATTAACTGGAACAATGAACTGTATATACGTGGGCTGCTGCTGTCCAAATGTGGTTTCAAGGTCAAGGTCATGAAGACCATTTGACCAAACAGGACAGTGATATCCCGACCATAGATCAAGCCCCATGGAAGCAAACCCATGCGTCTTTGTCTAGTAAGACTCTGGTTTTCCATCGCCCCCAAACTGCAGCCATAATATCAGGCCTTTAAGACTTGTTATGCTATTGGACCAAAACCAAGAAGGTTTATTTTAATGATGTTCATGAAAGATCGATTAAAATAATAAAAAAGTAAATGTAGTGACTAGGTTAAACTAACCTAAGTTGTGTTCCTAAGGATCATTGGATAGTTGAATGAATATCAAACATCTTCCATGCATTATGTTCAGAAATAGGGGGAGTTTTCAGATTGATTTGGTAAAAACAGAATTAGAATTCAAATTGGATTAAATTCAATATAAATGAATGATCAATTCACTGATTAACAATCTAATCTAGAGTTCTTCATTGGATTCAAATTATATTTTCCAATTATTAAACCTAGCCTCAATGTGATTACTGCAGAATTAGCATTTTGGATTCAATGCTAAACGTAGATCAAGCAATTAAGCAATTCTTAACGAAGGATTAGCATCTCAAGCATAGAATCTTATGAACTCTCTCTCAATTCAATTCAAACCTTGCAAGAATAGTACTTAACAAAATTCGAATTACATGTAATATAGAATCTCAAGCGAAATTTAATCAGAGGTTCAATTACGCAATTAATCCTCAGACAATTAAAATCATGCACAGAATTGGGAGAAGAAGAGAATTAGGTTGAAGAATTGGAATGTTTTAAGAACAATACCTCAAATCCCTATAATTAGAGGATCAATCCAGTGAATCAATCTAAAGAACTAGCCTTCCATTACAAGAAAATGCAGAATTTCAGAGAAAATTACAAGAAACATTCAAAGAAATGGATAAGAAAAGAGAATTGACAATGAAAATCCTTTGATTGAGCCTTGGAAATTGCCCCCAAAGCTCTTTCTCTCTCACTCTCTAAAAGTCTAAGAAAGAAAAATGACAAAAGATGCGTAAATTCTGAGCTTCAAATCTGTTTATATTTTTCCCGCTTTTCTGACGTGGTCATTTTTTGTGCTAAAAGTAACCATGCAGAAGGCTTTTTGCAATGCCAGGGTCTGGAACAGTCACTATTTATAAGAAAACTAGTCACGCGCAATTGTATTTCTTCATAAGGCTTGCGCATGATCACTATTTGTGAGAAAAGAGTCATGTGCAGCTGAGTCCTTCATAATAGGCTTGTGCGTGGTTACTTTTGGCGAGGAAAGTGATAATGCGCAAGCTTTGCTCTTGAAGACTCCTTTGGAACACTCACTTTTTGTGAGAAAAGTGATAATGCGCAAGTTTTGCTCCTAAAGACTCCTCTAGAATGTTCACTTTTTGTGAGAAAAGTGATAATGCACAGCTTCGCTCCTCTATGCAGGCTCTGGAGTGATCACTTTTGGTGAGAAAAGTGGTAAAACACACATGGGTTATTCCAATTAGGCTCTAATAGTTGTCACTATTGGTGCCAAAAGTGATAACGCACACATGATTTCACTTCAATGCCTCTAAAATATTCACTTTCTGCACCAAAAGTAATCACTTTTTGTTAGCAAATCAAATCACTTAAAATGCTCATAATTTCTTAGTCTGAAATCCAAACTTTACAAATCATATATCAAATTAAAGTTCTATGAATCAACTTTCTATAAAAATGGGAATCTCTTCCTCAGGAACAAATAATACAGAATTAATGAACAAATATCAATATAGTCAAAGTAATGAAATTAAGGAAAATTTTCCAATAAAGCCCAATTAATGAAGTTTGGATTAAAATAGCCAAAATTAATCAATTAAGCACAATTAGAAGCCTATTGACTTACAAAAAAGCTTAAAGCATGGGCTAAAAAATGATGTTCATTGTCTCTATAGTGTGGTTTCTAATCTCATGTCTATCAAATTGGATAACATGGACATGAAAACTTATCTTGGTAAGCTTGATAATTTTTACTTATTGATTTTGATACTCTTTTTCCGTTTAGTGATGTTTACTAGTGATGTAGTGACCCATGCTGATCAAAGAAGCAAGTTTTTTTACTCCTGCCTAAACTAGACTTAGTTCATGATTAGATCTTATCAGGGACCTCCATTTCCTCTTATGACATGGTGAGTGAATAACTATTGTGTTTCTCCACTCCTCATGCCTTTGGTTCTCCACTTGTACCTTCTATGTATACCTTGCAGTTACTCAACATGCACTTGAGCATCAACGCTAGGGTCACCCTAGTCTTAATAAAATGCATCTTATGGTTCTGCCTCTTTCCAAAGTTCAAACTTAACTATCAATCATATCAATTTTGAAAGCATACCTGACATCCTTTTAATGATAGAGTAAATAAAATTGCTTTGCCACCCTTTGCATAGTTCACTCCAATATTTGGGGTCCTATTTGAGTCAATTCAACTTTAGGTTATTATTATTGTTACTTTCATTGGTGATTTTCTTCTTGTGCTTGGTTTTTCTTATAAAAAAAATATTGTTATGTTTTCTTCCTATTTCAAGCTTTTTCATCTGAAATTCAAAATCAATTTTGTCCATCAATTAAAGTATTATGCATCGATAATGTTTGTGAATATATGTATTCGAAGTTTCAATCTTTTTGAACTCCCAAGAAGTTATTCATCAAACTTGTTGCACACATCACAGCAGAATGGTGTTTTTGAATGAAAGAATCAACACTTAGTTGAAATTGCTCATACTCTTCTTCACCACATTGTTCTGCTTCATTTTTAGGCTGATGCTCTTCTCTCAACATGTTATTTGATCCACTGCATGCCTTCTTCCATTCTTCAAAACTAGGTTCCCTTTCTCCTTTATATCCTGATCAGGATCTTTACTCTATTTCACTTTGTGTCTTTGGTTACATTTGCCTTGTCCACATGATCTCACTCCAAGTAAAGCAAACTTTGCCAAATCTCTCGAGTGTTTTTTTTGGGGTTACATCTCCCAAAAGGTTATCGTTGTTTATGTCCTTAGCTTTAATGGTATTTGATTTATGCTGGCATCACATTTTTTTAATCTATTCCTTTTCTTCTGTTCTCGATCATTTTAAAGCTCGCTTGGTAGCTAAAGAATACATACAAATGCTTGGTCTAAATTATGGCTACACCATTTCCTTGTGGCCAAAATCACCTTGGTTCATCTTTTTCTTGCCTTGACTGCTATTCATTATTGGCACCTTCATTAACTTGATACGGAAAATGCCTTATTGCAAGGTGATTTACTAGTAGAGGTTTATATGAAACAACTACCATGATTTTTTGTTCCTAGTCAATCTCATCTTGTTTTTCGTCTTCAACATTCCCTCTATGTATGGTTTGAAGCAATCTCCTTGTGCTTGGTTTGAACATTTTATCTTTTCCATAATATAGTTTGGCATGACTAGATGGGAAGCTGATCATTTTGTCTTCTCTTCATTTTGTATCTAGTCGATGCATTTATCTAGTTGTTTATGTTGATCATATCATCTTTACCTGTGATACTTCTGATGGCACTGACTCAAAGACCACTTATTTAGCCAATTTTAGACAAAAAATTTGAATTCTCTCAAATATTTAGGTATTGATGTTGCACAATCCTCTTTTGGTGTTGCCATTTTCCAATGAAAGTATGCTTTGGACATTCTTACTAAGATAGGTATGCTTAATTGTTACTCGCATGATACTCCTGTAAATCCCAATGTTAAGCTTCTCTTGGGTCAGGTAGAGCCATTGCAAGACTTAAGAAAATATTAGTGTCTTGTGGGTAGACTCAACTATTTCATTGTTACCAAAAGTGTGGCAAGTTAGTTTCTGAATGTCTCGTTTGATAGCCATTGGTATTCTTCAGTACATAAAAGATGCACCAGGATAAGGACTATTATTATATAAGGATAACAGTAATCCCAAAATCACTTGCTATTTTGATGCTGATTGGGTAGGATCACCATCAAATAGAAGATCCGCTTTTGGATATTGTATTCTAAGTGGAGGAAGTATGATTTCTTGGAAGAGTAAAAACAAAACATAGTTGCTCGATCTAGTGCTGAAGCTCATGCTATGCAACAACTGCATGTGAACTTACATGGATTAGGCAACTACTACAATGGTTAAAATTAGGAGATATTTAGGAGACGAAGCTTATCTGTGATAATCAAGTTTCACTACACATTACCTCAAATCTAGCTTTCCATGAATGAACTAAACACATAGAAATATATTGTCATTTCATAAGAGAGAAGGTGCTTTCAGGAGAAACCACAACTGAATATTTCAACTCTAGTGACCAATTGATTGACATGTTCATCTAGTGACCAACAGATCATATCTCTGAAGTTAATGATTGCACTTGACATTATTAATATCGTTAGTGCTTATGCTCTATAAGTTGGATCAAAATGTGGTAGAGGTTAAAAGGATTTGTGAAAGGATCATACTTTGAAGTTAATGATTGCACATGATATTATTAACATCATTAGTGCTTATGCTTTGCAAGTTGGATCAAAAGCTTTTAAAAGGAAAAATTATGGGAGGATTTAGAGGGATTGATTCAAAACATTCCACATTACAAAAATATTTATGTAGGTGGAGATTTATGATGTTTGTTGTGATGTAAGACAATTTATAATAATTCATGACCATTTTGGTTTTGGAGAGCTAAATGAGGAAAGACAAGTTATTCTTTATTTTTTAATGGTTTCAAGATTATAAACACTTGCTTTAAAAAGTGAGAGGAACACCTTATCGCTTATAAGAGTGGAATACTCAAAGATGCAAATTGATCTCTTTTTGGTAAGGAGCTCAGATATAAGAGTTTGAAGAATTGCAAAGTGATTTCAGGAAAAGAGTCTTACTAGACAACATATCATCTTGGTCCTTGAAGTTCATTTTAAGAATTGTAAATAAAGTTTTCAAGCTATATATCTAAGAATGAAAAGGTGACAACACGAAGTTGATAAACAGTTAAATTTTAAGAAGCAATTATTGGAAGAAGGTAATTGGAAACACAAGGGTCCAGTTTGGATAAACTTCTAGAGAAGTTCTTATAGGAGGAAAAAAATTAAGATAAAAAATGAATAAAATTTCTTTAATAAGTGAGAAACAACTTATGCTTCTCTATTTTTTGAGAAGTTTTAAGTTCTCTCATTTAACTTTTCTAAAGTTTGAGAAGATAAGTTGTTTCTAATTTATGAGAGAAGTTTTATTCATTTTTTATACTATTTTTTTTCTCCTATAAGGACTTTTGTAAAAGTTTACCTAAATTAGGCCAAGGTAGTGCTAACCTAATTTAGGATGGGATGTCTAAAAAGTTGAGGAAGATTGTTAAGGCAATTTTGGGTGAATTTAGAGGTTTTGGGTTAGGTGATAAAGGATGAAAGATATATAGGCTTGCCAAAGATAGAGAAAGAAAACCTAGAGATTTAGGTCAATAATGAAGATGGGAAATTTTTAGTTACAAATGAAGATATAAAAGAATGATGAGAGAACTATTTCTATGAACTTTTTAATGATGAAAAATGAGCAAATGTTAATATAGGAGGATCAGAATCGGATGAGCAAAGTTTGACATACTATTGTAGAATTCAAGTTGGAGGGAGTGGTAAAGTTGTTGGCTTTGATTGCATTCGTAATGAAGTTTGGAAATGTATAGAAAAGCAAGGTATGTTTTAGCTTATTAAGATTTTTAATGAGATTTTGAAATTTGAGAATGTGTTAGATGAGTAAAGGAAGAACACTTTGGTTCCTATACAAGAGCAAGAGTGATATTTAGAATTGTGTAAATTACAAAGGAATAAAACTTATAAATCATACTATGAAATTATGGAAAATAGGTGATTGAGCATAGACTAGAAAGAAAATGGGACCGAGAGAATCTGATTGAATTTAGAGTAGAGTGAGAGAAAGAGAAAATAATAAACTGAGAAATTTTATTGAAAGAAGCATGAGAAGTTGAAGTATTTATTGAGCTTAAAGGAAAGTTTTATCATATTGTTATGTGACCAGTTAAAAAAAGTGAGTTGTGGCAAAAATGAGAATATTAAGATGGATGATCACATGAGAATGTTTGTATACAAGGTAAAATTAGAATAACACCTATTGAAGAAAAAATGATAAAGAAAAAAGAATTAATTAAGATGATTTGGACATGTATAAAGAAGGCCACTGGAGGCACCACTAGTGAGGAGAGTGGTTGACATGACTTTTGGCCTGGTGAAAAAGGATATAGGGAGATCTAGAAAACTTTGAAGGTAATTATTAAAAGGGATCTTATGGTTAATATCTCAGAGATTTTTATTTTTGACCGAACATAATGACGTCGTTCAATTTATATAGCATACCTCACCTAGTAAAATAAAACTTTGTTGTTGTTGTAGACATTACATAATAAAGGAAAAAAAAAGTAGAAAAGAAGTTTTTACAAAATTTTACAATGATACAAATAATTTAATGTAATTCTTAAGAAGTTGTAAGTAATTCACTTTGCAATGAGCACAATCTGCATTGCAGCAACCAGCAACGACAATACACACAGTTGCAAAATCCGTAACACATTTGCAACCACAACTGCAATTCAAAACCTTGCACTTTAGGGAGGTGCCCTATAGAGAGTAAAGTGCTATTGTTTTTTGTGAGAAATTCTTTTATAGGTTTATTAATTGCTGTAATTGATTTTATTCTGCATAGGTTTTCAGTAGATCCTTAGTTTCTGTGCCTATATTTTTGTGTGTAACTTTTTAGTTTGAGTTTTAATTGGTCCAGTTTGCTAATTGCATTTCTGCACCTTCAACCTTTTTCTAGTGTTGTGCAGCTTGCGGACTGGCATTATTCCTCTTGCCCCTGATCTTGTTTCCCTTGTACAGCAGTGATCATAGTCCCATGGTACTTTTTCTTGATCATTTTAGTTTTATCAGATTCTATGTTGTTTGTATATACATCATCTTTCTTATTGCATGCCGGTGGCTATATGGGAGACAGGTTTTGAATGTACCCCCAACCTCACCTCTATCTGGTTATTTAGCTCCTGGTGATGTTATTCTGTCAGTAGATAATATACCCATCAGAAATGCACAAGAGTGGTTGAAGCTTAATACTTTGACATATAATGTTAAGCTTAATAATGTAAATATTTCTCAGCGCACTGGAGACTTGGGGGGAGTCAATAAAATGAAGGGTTACTGTGTCCCTAGTTTAATGATGGAAGAAAGCAAAATTAGCAAAATTACCAACTTGCTGGAAAATCAACATGCTTGTTCCAGTGAACTTACTGCCTTTGTAAAAGTTTTATGCCCTGCTAGGGGTACACTGGATGATGGTCAGAGCAGAACTGATCTTTTAAACAGAGAATGGAGTATTTACTGCTTAAATGCTAAAGATGTTGTCAGACGTAATAGGTGTGGTGATGACTGGGGGCTAGCTACGACAAAGGGAAGCAGTTGTGTGTGCTCTCAGGTAGATAATTATTAGAATGTTTATAACTTTGTTAATTTGTGTCAATGTAGCCACTTTCTTCTTCTCACACGATACTGAATGTTCTATTGATATTATTCACAGGAAGAATTTTGTTTAGCTCCTGTTCAGGAACCTGGATTGGTATGGGTCGAGATTGCATATTCAAGTCCTTATCATGAATGTTCATCAAATGTACACAACAAATTTCCATTTTCAGAAACTTCGGGTGTTAAGGAAACTAATTGTGGAGGGACTTTTATTTTTGTTGGTGATGTTATCTCAATGGCACATTCCATTCAGCTAACATCATATCAGCCTCGCTGGGGACCAAAAATTGTTGCTTATTTACCAAATGCACTGGAAATGATTTTAATATGGACATTTCATGTTTCCCTGGCTCTAGCTCTTCTCAATGGTTTGCCAGTAAGTAATGAACATTCTCTTGCTTATGTTAGGAATTGCCTTATATCAATCGTTGGTTCTGCATTTGTGAATTATTCTCTTTGGTCCTTTTTATAAGGCACCTTTTAGTGTTTTTTTTTTTGTAAGGCACTTCATAGTTTCTATAAAGCATTTATTAAGTTTTCACCATGTGCCCTTAATAAATAGAGTTGATGAGAACCTAAATTAAGACTAAGAAGGGTAAATATTGATAGTTTGGTTAGGTTCAATGATATTAATTGAGGATAAAATTGTCCTGTTATTATATTTTTTAAAACATCAAGAATTGCTGTATTGTATGCTGACAATAAAGATAGTAGATAATTTCACCTTAGACAACAAGATGTTAACTAAGAAAATAAATAAAACCTGGAGTAGTTGCTAGCACATATTAGGTGAATTATTTGATCACTTTAGATTTTAATTGATGTTCAATAGATTACGAGAGTACAGTATGCCTGCTGCACGGTGGGTTTTAAACAGGATGGGATTGTGAATTTGTGATGGATTTAGGTTTGTAGGTTAATTATAGAGATAGGTTCTAATTCTAATTAAGAAACATGGTATTCCTTCCAAGAAAATTTGTTATTGTAATGCAAAGAAAATGTAAAATACTACATTTTTTCGGGTTATTTCCAAGGTTGTTTAGAGGTTTAGGTAGATAATTTGATTAGTTAGTACATCTGAAAACAACCAATCTCAGTTTACTTTATCTTTTATTTTACTAGTAAAAAATACTATGAAGGCAAGACATTCAGTTATGGCCAGCTTGCTTTATACAACAACTAAATTTTATTCCAATAAGTGAGGACGGCTACATAGATTATACAACACCATTGAGCTCGGCCAGCTTGCTTTGTATTGGATACATACATATAGATGATGTATACTTAGTAGAAAAAGCCCTGGTGGAAAACGGCGCAACTTTTGCATTGTATTTCTCTCCTTAATTTACATATTGGCACTAACGAAATATTGGTTTGCTTTATGCTTTGCATATTGACATTTAAAAAAAATGATTGTTTGTTTATGCCCTTAAAACTGCTTTTGTTGATGGACAGACCAAGATTGTAAGAAATGCGGAATGTGTGTGAAAATCTTTTGACGTTTCTCAGAAGAGAAGATGCTTATTTGTTTCTGGTGTTGAATTTCCTCTAATACAGTAATTATGATTATATTATCAGGTGTTTTTTCTAGATGGTGAATCCATTTTAGATGCAACTCTATCCCACTTTACTTCGTTAAGCCCAAGGAAGAGGAAGAAGGTTCTTAGACTATGCCTCCTTGGTGGGTTACTTATTTCTATGAATGTTGTTTTACGGGAACTCTTAATTCTTTCTTGATATCATCATTTTCTTGTTTTTTGTGACGAGTATGGCAACAGCTTGTACACAAATTTCATGTTCATAATTTTGGTTCAAAAAGTGAAGTAATCAACTTCACGGTAAAAATCAGGTAACTTATTAATAGAATGATTTTCATTTTGAATTAAGTAATTATCATATTAAACTAATTAGTAAATATTTAATTTTGTACTTGAAAATTTCTATTTAGAAACAATATGCGTATGTGTATATGGATGCAAATTAGAGAATTCCTGGGCTTTTTTTATTTTTAAAAAACTAATTGTTAAAATTATATTATTTTAAAACAAATTTCCTGATTTTGGTGTTTTTTGTTTTGGGCTACATTACCATTAGTTTTGCATCTTTCAAGTGCGGAACTTGTTTTTTAAGGAGTTTCATGCATTTAAAGGGAAAATTTTGGAGATTATGACACTTGTCAAGATCCATGTAATAGGCGAAATTGGCTTTTATTTTTGTTTTAAAATGGGAGTGCAGGGTTTTGGGGAAGTGCGGGGCTTGTCCTTCGCAGGTTGCTGTGTCGTTTCAGCCTCTCTTCCGCATTACACCTCCCTGCACCCGGTAATAATACCCAAAGATTGTCGAGGTTTGCATCCTCATGATTGAACACTGCAACAACTGGGGAAGGTTGAACCTCTAAATGGGTACCTGAAAATTCAATTTTAGCAGTGGGTTTGGAGAAGAGAAAACGCAGTTTTTCAAAGCCAAAGCTTGATTTTTGGCCTAAAGATGCTGCAGGGAGAAGATGAGGGTCAGCAACTAACTCTTCGCCGTACTCTTCATTGTTTGCTAAAATCATTCCAACCCCACTAGCACGCTTAACAAGACTATTTTCAACTCTTTGCTCTCACCTCTCTCATTACAATTTTCCCATAAACCTTTGATAAGAGTGAAATGAGAAAAATGATTTCATTGAACTGAATTAGAATAGCTACAAAATTGTTATATACAAGTTGAATATGGAAAGTTAGTTCTAACTAACTAACTACCAAAACTGAATTCATCAATTGACTTAACGGTAATTAGCTTATTCCAATACTCTCCCTTAAGGTGGGAAGTAGATATTGCGAATTCCCAACTTAGAAATTAGGAACTTGAAAGTTGATGGAGCTACTGGCTTGGTCAAGACATCAGCTAATTGATCTCCAGATTTAATATGAACCAAGTGAATGGAGCCATTCTGGACCTTATCACGAACGTGATGGCAATCAATCTCTATGTGCTTCGATCTCTCATGAAATGTAGGATTGCTTGCCAAGTATATAGCTGATTTGTTATCTCTGTTGGTATCTTCCAACAGAGATAATGCATACTTTCTTTGAGATAAGGAAATTCCCTTGAAAGACTGAGCAATTTCCAAACCAAGGAAATACTTCAATCTACCAAGGTCTTTTAGTTTGAAAATATCTGCCAATGTTTGTTTTACTTGCTGAACTATGACTTGAGATGGGCTAGCCACAATTATATCATCTACATAGACAAGCAAGGCTATAAAGGTTGGACCACTACCTTTGGTAAATAAGGAATAATCACTCAATGATTGAGTGAAATTGTGAGCAAGTAGAGCAGAAGAAAACTTTGTGAACCGCTGCCTTGAGGCTTGTCTCAGTCCATATTTGGACTTCCGCAACTTACAAACAAGCTGCTCCCCCTTAGGTCTGTACCCCAAAGGCATTTCCATGTAGACTTCTTCAAACAAATCACCATTAAAAAATGCATTATTAATGTCAAGTTGCAATAAATGCCACTGATTGATAGCAGCTAGGGAAAGAAGAACTCTCACAGTTGAGATTTTAGCAACAGGTGAGAAAGTAGCAGTAAAGTCAATGCCTTCTTCTTGAGTATACCCTTTAGCCACTAATCTTGCTTTATATTTGTCTACTGAACCATTAGGTTTGTTTTTTACTTTATATACCCATCTACAGCCTATTGTATGCTTGCCAGAAGGAAGAGGAACAAGTTTCCATGTGTTATTTGCTTCCATAGCATCTAACTCTTCTTTCATAACTTGCTGCCAATGTGCAAACTTCACTGCTTGATGATAGTACTCAGGTTCATAAACTTGAGACACTTGAAACACAAAATTTTTGTAAGTATGTGACAACTGAGTATAACTGAGATGGTCAGTTATAGGATATATCAATGTGTTGCAGTGATAGTCATATAGATAGGCTGGTGATCTAGGTAATCTATTTGATCTCCTCAATTGATGTTGTGGCTCAATTGGTCCTGGACTTGGATCATCTATTACTGGTGCAGGAGGCACATGCATAGGATCAACAACATTAATTTCATCTGAGGCAGGAACATCTAAGTCATGATTATGCAGCTCAACCACTGGAGCAATAGCAGGTGGTTGTAGAGGAAAAACAGCAAGACTGTCAACAGAATTTGGACAAACAACTTCAGCAAATGGGTCAGGTTGTAAATTCTGTGAAGTGTTGAGATGAAAGGGAAATACATCTTCATGAAAAATCACATCTCTAGAGATGAAGATGGACTTTGTCACCATATTGTAAAGTCTATAGCCCTTGTAGCCAACAAGATATCCAATTAACACTGAAGGTGAAGCTCTTGCTGTGAATTTATGTCTCTGAGAAGGCAAGGTGGAAGCATATACCAAGCATCCAAAAACTCTCAATGCTGAGTAAGTGGGAGATTTCTTATACAGCAAGGTAAAAGGACAGTTCATCTTCAAGAGAGGTGTTGGTGTTCTGTTAATAAAAAACACTGCAGTCTGAATACAATTACCCCAAAATTACAATGGTGCATCTGATTGAAAATACAAGGCTCTTGCAACATTCAGTAAATGCTGATGTTTCCTCTCAGCAACAACATTCTATTGTGGTGTTTCAACACAACTGAATTGGTGAAGTATTCCTTTCTCAGCAAAAAAATCATGTAAGCACAACTCTTTGGCATTGTCTAATCTGAATTGTTTAATCACTACATTGAATTGAGTTTGGATCAACTGTACAAACTGCTTAATCAGAGATGGAGCCTCAGACTTATGCTTCATGAGATAAATCCAGGTAAACCATGTGTTATCATCAACCAATGTTAAAAAGAAACGTTTATGATCATGAGTTGGTTTAGCAAAAGGACCTCAAACATCACAATGAATCAAATCAAAAGGAGAGTCACTGAAATGATTGTTAGATGGAAATGGAAGTCTCTTTTGCTTAGCCAAAGGACAAATTGAACAATTATGAAAGGAAAGAGTAGAAGGAATTGAAACTGTTATTTCTTTATTGATTGCTTTCAAACATTTAAGAGATAGATGGCCTAATCTAGCATGCCAAATGAGGAGAAACTGCATAATTGACAGAATGTGTAACTACATATGAATGATCTACATTGGTATAGGTATTATTAACAGAAACTGAATGACTAGCTTTAAAAACATAAAGGCCTTGTTTTACTTCACCCTTGCCAATCATCTTCTTGCTCTTGTGATCCTGAATAGTAAAGAAATTAGCAGAGAATAATATAGAGAAATCAGAATTAACTAAGAGTGAGCTAACAGAGAGAAGATTAACATGAAAATGAGGAACATATAGGACATTTTGTAAAAGCAAGCTGTCATTTAATGCAACAGTGCCTATAGAATGAATTGGAATTTTAGAATGATTTGGTAAGGTAACAAAAGAGTTTTGGACTGGAGTAAAATGCAAGAAAGGTTGTAAGGAACATGCAATGTGACAAGAGGCACCGGAATCTATAATCCAAGTATTTTTTGACACTAAATTTACTGGTAAAGAATTAGAAATGGTTGATAACACAAAACCTGTATTGATCTAAGAATCAAAGGAGCTCTCAGATGTCTTCAGCTGTGATGATAACATGGAAATCAACAACTTGCATTGATTTGGAGAAAAAAGCATGGAATTTTCAGAGGCTGAATTATCTGAGCCTTGATTCACTGAAGTGGAGACATGATGCACATTATTGGTCTATTTAGAACCAGATGCTACTTTGGTGGTACCACCAGAATTAGTGAAATAACCAGGAGGATAGCCATGAATTTTGTAGCATCTATCTTCAGTATGACCAATCATGTGTCAATGAGTGCATTTTGGCCTATTTTTCTTGACAAATTTCCCTTTAGAATCATAAATAGACTTGGAATTCTGATTTTGCTTAACAGCAAAGGCAACTTGTGAATCAGAATTCGAGTTGAAGGATACTTCTCTTTGCCTTTCATCTTGTAAAACCAAAGAAAATACTTTAGTGATAGGAGGCAAAGGATCCATCGTCAGAATTTGGCTCCTAACTTGAGCAAAAAATTCATTAAGACCCATCAAGAAAAACATAACATATTCTTGGTTGAAGTACTCAACAAAACCTCTAACAGTACCACAATTGCAGTGACAAGGTGGCCTGAAATCTTGGAGTTCTTCCCATATTAATTTGAGTTTAGTGAAATATTGGTTCACTGATGATAAACCTTGCTGTAAAGTCACTAAATCTCGCTTCAATTGGAAAGTGCGGGGACCATGTTGTTGTTAAAAACGATCAGGAAGATCATTCCAAATATTAGAAGCAGTGGTACAGTAAATCACACTAGCAACTAATTCTTTGGAAATGGAATTCAGTAACCAAGAACTCACTATGCTATTGTTTCTTTCCCAGAGAGCAAGTAACTGAGGATGATCGCCATCAGGACGTGGGAGAGAGCCATCAACAAATGCAAGCTTGTTCTTAGCCGATAATTCTATCTTCATTGATCTCTGCCATGAGTTGAAGTTATCACCACGCAATGCTTGTGAAACCAAAATGATGCCAGGGTTATCTGAGGGATGAATGAAGAACAAACTAGAAACATCATCAAGAGAAATCGCCATTGAGGATAAAAAGAAGAAAAAAAATCAGAGAAGGATCGAAGAGAAAAAGGGAAAGTTCAATAAGATTGTGTGGAAGAGTAATTTTCAACTGATACCATGATAAGAGTGAAATGAGAAAAATGATTTCATTGAACTGAATTAGAATAAGCTACAAAACTGTTATATACAAGTTGAATGTGGAAAGTTAGTTCTAATTAACTAACTACCAAAACTGAATTCATCAACTGACTTAATGGTAATTAACTGATTCCAATAACCTTCGAGGGAATTTGGTATGCAAAGGTATCCCAAACATGCGTTATTACA